GTACGACTTCAGATACGTAACTGTACGATTTCTTACTGATCGGTCCACAGTATTCACTGGACTTCCGCAGTGCTCCCATAGATTCTTTTGTGAGCCTCATCTCCTTATTAGAGAATCTCTTTGTTTAGTCAATCTTCTTCATTGTTTCGAGTTCCACACAGGTTCCTTCATGTTCACTCGCATCGGTTTACTCTGATGGATGTCCAAAAAAGCTAATACGAGCAGGGCTTTCGCTCGTTCATCGCCTTCCTATAGCATCTTGACACAAGTGTTCAACGCCGGCACTGATATTTGTTCCAGCATGATTCGAATGAAACAGAGAGCGTCTCTCCGCTTCGCCACTGCCGCTCCTTCTTGGGTCATTAGATCTCTCATGCTCGTCATTAAGAATGTCTTCTCTTCTCTTTTTGATTCTTCTGAGTATTCCCCCCGTGTCAGTCCAGTCATGCACCAAGCGAACCTGAATTGCAATTCTATTCTCGCATAGGGTATCGCTATCAGAGCCTGTATCTTCGGAGTGGTTCTCATTTCTTCTTCGAAGTGCCGTAACACTACTGCTCTCCATGGTAGGCTCACCAACTGGTCTATTGTTTCCGCGTGCATCCAGAAGAGACCAGAGTTCCGTATGCCTTCTGCTTTATGGTTGTGCCTTGTGTCATCGTCTCTAAGTAACTTTCCATGGCACTTTTGTTTTCTATAGCAATTGAGCGTCCTCTAGCCGAGTTTCTGCACTCCACCATCTCCATGTATCCACCAGCGGGTTCATCAATCGATACCGTTTCTGACACTGTTAGTCGGTTCTACTCCACTGGGACTAGCTGTCCTACGACGCTTCGCTTTCCATGGTTCATGGTTTGAAATCTTGTAGGGTACTCTCTCCACATTGGTTGAGTATTTCCATTTCTTATGTTGCTCCAGTCAGAGTGCGGTCACTCATCTTGGTTTTATAACTGACTGATTTTAATCCTGCCATGAGAATGGGTAGCACCATAGCTACGTCAGTCAACATTCTGTCTGTGCCAGGCAATCGTTCATCACCTTGTCCCATGTCAATGTTTTCTTCCACACGCTTTTTTTGGCTGAGTTGTCAGCTTTTATCAACATTTCAGAGTCCACCTTCGTTTTTCTAGTTTTAATCAATGTCACTTTGCTGCCAAGTTTTATTTTCATATCGGTAATCTTGTCAATTACCATCTTTTATCGCATCGTTCCTTTTCGGGTTCTTGATAGATACACTACTTAATTGTTGCCTTCTTGTGGTGTTGCCTTTATAGGAGAATTTGCCTCACTTTCATCAATGGCCGAGTCGATCAATAACTCGCTCAAACTCTCGGGACAATTTTTTCTCGGCATTTCTCTTATTGTTCTTTCTGGGGCTCCAGAGGTCTTTGCTGGTAAAGTGACACCGTCATTTCCCGTTTTCTTCATCGTCTCTTGCGAGAGCTCCACTCTGCCCGTGTCGTCGATTCTTCCTTAGGGTGCAGTCACCCCGGAACCTGGCGCACTCCTATTTTTGACAAGTCGTCCAGCTGTTTCTATCAACTTCCGCACCGTCTGCTCCACGACTGGGTCACCTAGGGTGTCACTTGTGTCCGGGATCGTCACTCTTCCTGCCGTAGTCGGGGTCGCACCTCCGTCGTTTGGCTTAGTTCGCGAGGCGTTAGGAGCACCATCGGAGACTGCTCACGAAGAACATTCCTTGCAGGTATCGCTTGCTCTACTGCTGTCATCAACGCCAGCCGTTCCCATCGCTCTTTGTATTCTCGCCTCAGGCGCTCTATTCCTTCGCTCTGCTTCTTGTTACAATCTTCAAACAGTTTCTTCCACATATCTCTGTCTTCTTCTACACTGATCACAGTCTTAGTCACTTGATCTAGCTCTCTTCTTGTCTTTTCCAGTTCTTGCATCGTCCCGTTCAGATACTCTTCGTTTCATTCGTCTGAACTTCTTATTCTACTCTCGCCCTCTTTGGTGGCACAGCTGCTCTCAGTTGTGAAGTAGACGAGGCAGCCTCGCTGTTCATCTCATGATGCCTTCTTCTCAGTCCAGGCCTAGGCTTGATCGGCAGAGGTATCTCACCTGGTTGGTAGGTCCTGGAACTTCCCAAACCAGGCTCGTTCGCCAAGTCACTTCCTGAGAGAGCCCCGTTTCTCCACCTCATTACCCCCATGTTTGGGCGATCTAGTACTCCTCCTTCTCCCTATGCGGCCATCAATAAGACTTCCTTGGGGCGGTCCCCACGGTTATCATGCCCTAAGATGTTTATTAAGGCGACCAGCAACATGACTACCTCTGAGTCCTCCAGAGCGAAGTCTCCTCCTTCTCCATATGCGGCCATCAATAAGACTTCCTTGGGGCGGTCCCCACGGTTATCATGCCCTAAGATGTTTATTAAGGCGACCAGCAACATGACTACCTCTGAGTCCTCCAGAGCAAAGTCTCGATCCATCAGCCGACGATAGATCGCGTCTATCGTCTGTCCTATATACGCCTCCGCTAGGTCCATCAGTTCATTCAAATCGAAGTTGTCCATTTCGTTAGATTCGGCCTTGATTATCAGTTTGCTCAATTGAAATCTGATGAATATTTAAATGATCAATCAGGATCTAGAAAAGAGATCTTGGAATTTGACTTAAGAATGGACATTCCAAACTTTGGATCTATTCCTAAAATCATTATTTGTTCATTCATGGCCACTAATCTTTTCGTACCCATGGTCTTAATAACATGAAACATATCACACAACACATCACACACAACACACATAATATGACGCCTCCTACATGCAACCTAAACTCAGCCTATACTCAAATAATATTTCTTATGTAAGTATAATTGTATGTTATTATCTGAAAAGATTACGTGTATCACTGCATATAGCTCCCGTGGATGCAGTCTTCCTCGGTTTGGGTCATATACTGGAAGCAAGAGTTCCTTTACCTCCCTTTCCACAAGGAAGTCTTTCAGTCTCGTCAAGGACAAGACCAAGTTTTCCGGGTCCACATGCCGCTTCTCTGTCGCTCTCGTCACCAAGAAGCATAAATACTTTCCTGGTATCTGCGATGCCGCCGGAATCAAGGCTGCTACGCCTCCTTTTCCTGGTCTTTGCTTCCAAAGGAATTCTATGTTTTATATTCTCGCTTAAAATCTGCTGCTAACGCTGTCCTAAAACTCATGTCCGCTGTGACAGCTATCACACATGTTCTATTTGTAAGTATAAAATCGCTATCTGTCAAAATTATGCTATTTGAGTACTCATTTGGCAAGTTAAAATATGACTCAACTACTCTCCCTATTTCCGGTTTATTAGGATCCTCGTCTTTTTCTGCTTCTTGGTCACCTGTCTCTCTTGCTATTCTTAATTTTTTTATCAATAATTTTTCAGTGTGGATAAGTCCTACACCCACTCCCCGGACAAAAATATCCATCGACTTCCCCGTCGATAGCATACCGGAGATTAAATTGAGATTGGATGCAGGAATGAGTAATTGCCCTTCCTCGGCAGCCCAGGAAGGATCATTTCCTTCGGTTTTTATGTATTTCATGCTCTCACGGTCTACATCTTGTATCGTGACACTGATCTCTTTTGGGTCCGACGTCATTTTGTTCGGCCTTTCCAAGACACGCAGATTCGTCAAGTCTTGTTCATACGATTGCTGTTGCTCGACGTCGAATTCTACCTCGGGCTTAGACTGGTCATCGATCCGCTCCTCGTCGCAGTCGTCGACTATGTTTAAGTCTTGTGACACGGTTATTTCTTCTAGACCCACCAATTCATCCACTATCTTCTTCAATTCTATTCTATCCACTACGAAGTCATCTCCGTAAGGGTTGTACTTCTTCGTGAGTCTTGTTCTATCACTCTGTCGTATCTGTATCGTTAAAGGAAGGTCTGGTTCCAATTTCTTGGGGACCTCCATCTGTTCGGGGTATTGCCAGTCCTCTTCCGCCTTGGGTAAGGTTTCTTCATTTGCTTCAATCACCTCATTGGGATCCAGGTCCAGTGTCGGACTTGATCCTTCCTCTATGACCTCATTCCCATCATTCTTTCCCCTGGTGCCCTTCTTATTGACCTAGCAGGTAGGGTCCATCATCAGATAGACCCGTTCTTCCATGTCTGCAGGTATACACCAGTCTTCCGTAGATGGATTGTGTGGCTTGATATTTTCGAAGTGAGCGGCTCGACCAGTTCTTAGTCTGTAAAAACGTCCCTTCTGTTGCACTTCCGTGATCATGAAGGGTCCACTCCTTTTCTTTAGGAGCTTTTTTGTTCCCTCTGGTAGTATAACGTTTTGAAATACCCATAAGTAGTCTCCTACCGAGTAAGCTTTTGCACCAACTGCTTTTTTATCGAACCTTTTCCTCTGCCTTGCCTGTGCTTGCTGAGTGTTCCGTCTACACAAGTCGTTTAGTTCTTGTTGATGTCTAATCACATCCCTTCCGTAGACCTGTGGTGATGTTTTTCCCTCATACTCTGGGTAAAAGAAAGTCAAGGGCAAAGACTTCTCGTGTCCGGTTAACATCATGTGTGGATTAACTCCGGTCGTGGAGTGTTGCGTGATGTTGTAAGCTCCCATCACCTATGCAAGGTATCTGTCCCAATCGGTCATGTACCTGGAACAATATACCCTCAGCATCGACACCAACGTCCGATTTTGCCTCTCCACTAAGCCATTCGTCTGGGGATGGTATGTCCCGGAATGAGTTTGGGCCACCTGTGAGTGTCTCATGAGCTTTTTCGTAAGTTCTCCGACGAAAGCTGTTCCGTTATCCGATTGAAACGTCATCGGACAACCATGTCTTGCTATCAACGTATTGATTAGATGATCGCACGTCTCTTCTGCGGAGGCAGTTATGCATGGCACGGACTCTGAATACTTCGTGAAGTGGTCTATCATGACCAAGACCTGATTGTAGCCACTCTTTGTCATACATATTTTCTGGTGGTCAATCTGCACCACCTCGTTGAATTCAGATAACTCGATCGACTCTAAAGGAAATCACAATTTCCTTGGATCTTCGACCTGTTGACATGACAGACATGCTTTTAACCACTTCTCGCATGCCTTTTTCATTCCAGGCCACTCAATGCGCTTCAGAATCCTCTGGTATACTTTGTCAATTCCCTGATGGCCCATCTGATCTGCGACCTGAATAAATGTTCTGTCTGATAGTGTTGCGGCAACACTATTGCGTTATATTTTTACAGGATTTTGTCTTCTTCTCTTCTCTTACAAGCCACGATCCCGTCCTTGTTCAGATATAACCTTCCCTCTTTTTGCATAAAGTACTGTCTCAGAATGCGGTAACTGTCTTCCTCCAGGTCACCTTTGTCTGGTGCTCCATTTTCGATCCACCTTTTAAAGTTGCTCGTCATGCGGTCATTGCGCTCTTAGTAGCCCGAGAGTCTGTATCTCGCCTTCAAGTATGTCTTCATGATCCTAATTTGACTATTCATTTCATCGGGCTGATGCATGTCATTTTCCATCTTCACGCACCAAATTTTCGCCAATGGCTCTGTCTCTTGTCTGAACGTTGAAGATCAGTCCTGACTACTTGTTTCTGCGGCAACAAACTCGCTATTGTTTCTAGATCAAACGCTTCGCTGGGTAGCAGGTAGCGATCGCTGTCAGGGTCTTGATATACCTCTATGTCCAGGTCGCTTGCTCGAGTCTCCACTAGTAACGTGTGGATCGCTAGCTCTGACAATTCCGATCCCGTGCTCGAACTCCTGTCTGAGTAGGTGTCAGTTCCTGAACTCCTCGAGTTGTCATCAATGGAAGAGTCTGCCACGGAGCACGTTTCTTCTTCGGGATCAATTTTATGCGCTCTGCTCATCCATCTGAACTCCTCGGACAAAAATTCATCCTCCAGGTCTTGTTCCCCACCTTGAAAATTTTCCTCTACACCTGTCTCGCCGGACAAACTTTCTTGTCCCGGGTCTTGTTGATCAACTCGCCTGTTCTCTTCAATGTCCTTCTCCCCGGACAAACTTTCTTACTCCAGGTTTTGTTCAACTTTTTCGCCTTTCTGATCCTGATCCTCAAAGGTAACGTTTTACCTTTGTGTCCCTTTCACTTGTTCTTGCGGAGTGACCTGCGCCGTTTTATCCAGCAATGAGAGGCTGTTTATGTTCACACGAGAGAGTTCCTGTTAGACCAGGTTTGAACGTAGCAACAAATCCAAAAGCACCGGGTCCTTCTTTGATGTGATCTTTATTTCTGCTGCCTTTTCCACCGGTAACTCGGGGTGTTCCGGAATTGAATGTCGAGATTTGTCCAACCATCTCGTCAAGGGAAGCGCTTCATAAGTTTCTTTGTCCAGAAACGAGAATCGTTCCTTGATTTCCACCTGATTGGCTGGTTTCTGTTCTAGTCTTTCATAAAACTCAGTCTTCTTGCTGAGACTGTCAGCATTCTGGTGTTTGTCACGAATCTGTGCTCGATTATCATGTTGTAGCCGTCTAACCTGACTATCCACCGACCAATATAGCTCTTGTCCATCGAGTACGTCTTCAACCAGGATAACGCTCTATTGTCCACGCGTAGCTTAAAGAGAGCGCTCCCTAAGTATGCGCGGTATTTCTGCTTTTGGTGCACCATATTTCATTTCAGTCTCACTCAACACTTTACTGCCATATGCAATGGGACGGAGAACTGTTCTCCCACTCCACTCCTGCGCCTGATGCAGTATTCCTGAGATGGCTACTACTGATGCATCAGTGTCAAGGACGTAACGTAAATGCCCTTCTCTGTAGGCATGCCTAGCACTGGCGCCTCGCACAGTTCCCGCTTTATGTTCTCGAAGACAGCTTGAGCTTCTTCGTTCCATTCGATCTTTTTTTTCCTTTGTTGCGCATCAGTTTCTCTATGGGGTACCCTTTATCCGCGTATCCTTTTATGAACTCGTGGTAATAATTGGCAAACCCCGGGAAGCTCATGAGTTTTGAGTCCGTTCTGGGGACCTTCCATGTCAACACGGCCTCCACTGTTTCCGGTTCCGGCCTTACGCCATGCCTGTCCACCATTCTTCCCAGGTACTTGATTGAATCTCTAAGGTATTCACATTCCGATGGTTTGCATTTCAAACCTGCTCTTTTCATGCAACCAAAGACTTCATCGAGTCGATCAATGTGGTCTGCCAAGGTGGGTGTTGATATGACCACGTCATCCACGTAACACATCACAAGATTCCAGTACAAGATTCATTAATTTGGTCAAAGCCTGAGCCATCAGTCTTTGAAAGGTCGCAGTGGCGTTGCACAAGCCAAAGGGCATCCTCTTCTACTGGTATAACCCCAATTCACATGAGAATCCGGTCTTTTCTCTGTCCTTCTTCGCAGAGGGAACTGCCAGAAGGCAGAACCCAAATCCAGTGTGGTGAGGAACTTGGCGTCGCCAAGTTTCGAGAGGCTCTCGTCTATTGGCTGTATCGGGTACGCATCTTTTATTGTCACTGCGTTCAAGTAACGAAAGTCGCAACAAAACCTAAGCTGCCCCCTTTCGTTTTGGCCATGACAACCCCACAAGCCCAAGGCAAATTCGAGGGTTCTATCATGTCATATTCGAGTAAAATTTCTATTTCCGCTCGGCAAGCTTCCGATGTATGAGGCTTCATTCGTCTTGCGCCTTCCCTATGAGGAATGGCGCCTTCCTCTAATTATATTTCGTGTTCGACGAAGTTGCAACAGCTGATATCCGCCTTATGTTTTGAAAGTACGTCCGCTTTCCGATTTAAAACCGCCCTTACTGATTCATAATCTCACTCACCTTTTTCCCTCTCAAGTGTTCTATCTGCGGCAAAACCGGTTTGTCGGATTTTAGTTTGTATTACGGGGGGCGTTCCGGAAAAGTCGAGCAGCTCGACAAGCCGTTATCCGTTTCGGATTTCATTGAAAACAGTTTATTAATACATTTAATTTCATCAATTCTCTTAATTTTATATTTTTCCGCATGATTCGGCAGTCTTTCACGTTATATCTTTTCCAGTTTTGTGTCTCTTCATAGTCGGTCTTCATCGGCAAAGCGTAACCAAGTTTCTTTCCACGCAAAGCGTAATCAAGTGTCCAGTCAATAACACACTGGCACACAGCCCGTTTCGTGTTACTGAAAAGCTCCGGCCTAAAATCACCGAGCTTTGACTATTTGGGTTGGGTATCAGACAAACTCTCTTACTATCACTTAACGAATTTAAAATTCTCATCCTAAAAATTGCTTTTACAGCTGGTCCCGGCTGCTGTAGTTTTTATTTTTCCATCTAAAAAAATTGGCACCTTGTGTTTTCATCTGTTATTATTCTATTAATTGGTCTCTTAACATACTTGTGGTCTGGCTTTCTAATCCTTTTTAGGCCGTTGTTCAAGTCAATCATCACATCAAAATTCCTGACAAAATCACGGTCCAAGATGAATTCGTCTGAGTCGTCTAAGTTTTCAACCACCAGGAAACTCATCCAAAGATCGCGTCCTCCCATATGAAGGGCCGTCATTGGTGTCCTTCCTGCCATGTAGAGTGCTCTGCGATTGGCGGCCGCCAATCTGAGGTTCGTTTAAATTAGATCTTCCCACGTGAAGCCCATTCTTTCTCAAGTCTTTATTGCCATTCACGCTTACCACTGCTCCTGTATCCAGTAGTCCTGTTACTCCAATTTTCCTCCCATTGATGTCTAGCAGATGTGCAGTCACATCTGCCTCGTACCCTATGTGTACTGCATCTTGCTCCATCGTGGCATCATGACCGATTCTACGGACCTTTAGTTCTTCCTGACCCAAATAGATCTGCCCCATTTGGTCACTATCTGTTGTGACGTAGGTCTCAATTTAGATACTGATCCGTCAACGTTCACAATCACCTGATCCGATCCATAGACTTCCACGTAGCGCCCATGGAGTTTCTTTGTTCGAGGGGCACCTGTTGTAAGCAACGCTCGCACAGCCCTTGACTCAGTGCGTGATTTTACCTGTCTCAGATAATCCGCATATGTATCTAAATGCATCATAGTGAATTCTGAGGGTTCACTTAGTTTCCTGATCACCTGATGTCCCGCAACTAAAATTATTGACTGTATTCTGCTTCCTTGTGGCACAATGTCGAACGTCTGCCCAGAGATCACGTTTAGTTTCATGCTCAAACTGCCTGGTACTTTCGTTTCTTCAACCTCCGATGTCTCGAAGGCGTTTCTTTCCTGAGTTTTCTCATTCTCTAGTTCGAGCTTCACTCTCTGTTTGATCTCTTTTGTCATCAATTCTCTTGCTGCTGCCTTATAGTCGATTTTGAACGCGTCTGCCGCAGTCACTGGTTCCGGTTCGCGTATCTCTTCCGTTACTGTCTGCATCTTCTTCGTTGCCAGCTCTTGCGGTTTCTCTTTCCTGCATGCCTCCGCTTCACTCTTCTGCGGAGGCAGTTATGCATGGCACGGACTCTGAATACTTCGTGAAGTGGTCTATCATGACCAAGACCTGATTGTAGCCACTCTTTGTCATACATATTTTCTGGTGGTCAATCTGCACCACCTCGTTGAATTCAGATAACTCGATCGACTCTAAAGGAAATCACAATTTCCTTGGATCTTTGACCTGTTGACATGACAGACATGCTTTTAACCACTTCTCGCATGCCTTTTTCATTCCAGGCCACTCAATGCGCTTCAGAATCCTCTAGTATACTTTGTCAATTCCCTGATGGCCCATCTGATCTGCGACCTGAATAAATGTTCTGTCTGATAGTGTTGCGGCAACACTATCGCGTTATATTTTTACAGGATTTTGTCTTCTTCTCTTCTCTTACAAGCCACGATCCCGTCCTTGTTCAGATATAACCTTCCCTCTTTTTGCATAAAGTAATGTCTCAGAATGCGGTAACTGTCTTCCTCCAGGTCACCTTTGTCTGGTGCTCCATTTTCGATCCACCTTTTAAAGTTGCTCGTCATGCGGTCATTGCGCTCTTAGTAGCCCGAGAGTCTGTATCTCGCCTTCAAGTATGTCTTCATGATCCTAATTTGACTATTCATTTCATCGGGCTGATGCATGTCATTTTCCATCTTCACGCACCAAATTTTCGCCAATGGCTCTGTCTCTTGTCTGAACGTTGAAGATCAGTCCTGACTACTTGTTTCTGCGGCAACAAACTCGCTATTGTTTCTAGATCAAACGCTTCGCTGGGTAGCAGGTAGCGATCGCTGTCAGGGTCTTGATATACCTCTATGTCCAGGTCGCTTGCTCGAGTCTCCACTAGTAACGTGTGGATCGCTGGCTCTGACAATTCCGATCCCGTGCTCGAACTCCTGTCTGAGTAGGTGTCAGTTCCTGAACTCCTCGAGTTGTCATCAATGGAAGAGTCTGCCACGGAGCACGTTTCTTCTTCGGGATCAATTTTATGCGCTCTGCTCATCCATCTGAACTCCTCGGACAAAAATTCATCCTCCAGGTCTTGTTCCCCACCTTGAAAATTTTCCTCTACACCTGTCTCGCCGGACAAACTTTCTTGTCCCGGGTCTTGTTGATCAACTCGCCTGTTCTCTTCAATGTCCTTCTCCCCGGACAAACTTTCTTACTCCAGGTTTTGTTCAACTTTTTCGCCTTTCTGATCCTGATCCTCAAAGGTAACGTTTTACCTTTGTGTCCCTTTCACTTGTTCTTGCGGAGTGACCTGCGCCGTTTTATCCAGCAATGAGAGGCTGTTTATGTTCACACGAGAGAGTTCCTGTTAGACCAGGTTTGAACGTAGCAACAAATCCAAAAGCACCGGGTCCTTCTTTGATGTGATCTTTATTTCTGCTGCCTTTTCCACCGGTAACTCGGGGTGTTCCGGAATTGAATGTCGAGATTTGTCCAACCATCTCGTCAAGGGAAGCGCTTCATAAGTTTCTTTGTCCAGAAACGAGAATCGTTCCTTGATTTCCACCTGATTGGCTGGTTTCTGTTCTAGTCTTTCATAAAACTCAGTCTTCTTGCTGAGACTGTCAGCATTCTGGTGTTTGTCACGAATCTGTGCTCGATTATCATGTTGTAGCCGTCTAACCTGACTATCCACCGACCAATATAGCTCTTGTCCATCGAGTACGTCTTCAACCAGGATAACGCTCTATTGTCCACGCGTAGCTTAAAGAGAGCGCTCCCTAAGTATGCGCGGTATTTCACCACGAATGTGACCACTGCGAACATTTCTGCTTTTGGTGCACCATATTTCATTTCAGTCTCACTCAACACTTTACTGCCATATGCAATGGGACGGAGAACTGTTCTCCCACTCCACTCCTGCGCCTGATGCAGTATTCCTGAGATGGCTACTACTGATGCATCAGTGTCAAGGACGTAACGTAAATGCCCTTCTCTGTAGGCATGCCTAGCACTGGCGCCTCGCACAGTTCCCGCTTTATGTTCTCGAAGACAGCTTGAGCTTCTTCGTTCCATTCGATCTTTTTTTTCCTTTGTTGCGCATCAGTTTCTCTATGGGGTACCCTTTATCCGCGTATCCTTTTATGAACTCGTGGTAATAATTGGCAAACCCCGGGAAGCTCATGAGTTTTGAGTCCGTTCTGGGGACCTTCCATGTCAACACGGCCTCCACTGTTTCCGGTTCCGGCCTTACGCCATGCCTGTCCACCATTCTTCCCAGGTACTTGATTGAATCTCTAAGGTATTCACATTCCGATGGTTTGCATTTCAAACCTGCTCTTTTCATGCAACCAAAGACTTCATCGAGTCGATCAATGTGGTCTGCCAAGGTGGGTGTTGATATGACCACGTCATCCACGTAACACATCACAAGATTCCAGTACAAGATTCATTAATTTGGTCAAAGCCTGAGCCATCAGTCTTTGAAAGGTCGCAGTGGCGTTGCACAAGCCAAAGGGCATCCTCTTCTACTGGTATAACCCCAATTCACATGAGAATCCGGTCTTTTCTCTGTCCTTCTTCGCAGAGGGAACTGCCAGAAGGCAGAACCCAAATCCAGTGTGGTGAGGAACTTGGCGTCGCCAAGTTTCGAGAGGCTCTCGTCTATTGGCTGTATCGGGTACGCATCTTTTATTGTCACTGCGTTCAAGTAACGAAAGTCGCAACAAAACCTAAGCTGCCCCCTTTTGTTTTGGCCATGACAACCCCACAAGCCCAAGGCGAATTCGAGGGTTCTATCATGTCATATTCGAGTAAAATTTCTATTTCCGCTCGGCAAGCTTCCGATG